AGCAACCAGTGAACGTGAATTTGGGAGTAGGAATAACATATTACATAATAATATGTAATATTAAATATTTAAATTAAATATGTAATAAGTAAAAATGGAAACTAATCAAGGAGAGAAGCAACATGGAATTAAGGAGAAGGAGAAACTTCCTAACAGTGAGAATAATTAACCAGTGGAACAGCTTGCTGTCAGAAGTTGTAGGTGCTTCATCACTGGAGGTTTTTAAGAAAAGACTGGACAGCCACCTGTCTGAAATGGTATAGGTCAGTGATGGCGAACCTTTTAGAGAGTGAGTGCCCAAACTGCAACCCAAACCCCACTTATGCATCGTCGGGTGCCGGGTGGGTGTGGCCCATTGGGTGGGCATGGCTACGGTGGTAACGGCAGACTGGGTGGGACTAAAAAGTTCAATCAATCAATTCCAACTTTGCAAGATCTTTTTTTCCCTGTGAGAAGTTGAAATTGACTGATTGATTGAACCTTTTTTTTTTTTTTGCACACGGCGGCGAAGGCCTAAAGCGAAAAGGTTTTATAAAACCCAGCTGAAGGCCTAGGACTGGGATGACGGTGCGTGTGCCCACAGAGAGGGCTCTGAGTGCCGCCTCTGGCACCCGTGCCATAGGTTCGCCACCACTGGTGTAGGGTCTCCTACTTGAGCAGGAGGTTGGACTAGAAGACCTCCAAGATCCCTTCCAGCTCTATTCTGCATTTTGCATTCCTCACCCATACTCCATTGCCTTTCTCCTGTGCATTTTCTCCCTGAACAGTTCTGAGCAGGGTTTGCCTCTGTGCCAGGAATGTCTGTAACTTCAATTAATTCCAGGCTTTGACATTGTATTGCTTTCCTAAGCAAAAATCCCAGACTGCCATCTTCAAAGATAGTGCTGCTTAAGGTCAGGGTGTGCCTCCTGCTGAGAAAATACCCTTTGAAGAATTTTCTGTGCGTCTATGTGAAGGAGAGACCATGAATGGGTGATGATCTGTGGACTGGCTCTATTATTATGAGAAGCCCAGTTCCAGAGGGAGAAATGGAAAATGTGGCTATAGATCTCAGGAGGCAGTTTTGCAATCCAGAACCTCTATTACGAAACCTCAGAAGCCGTTCTGTGATGGGCATTTCTTTTCCTTTAATGTATTCTTTGTTTTTTAAAAAATAAAAACATATTCCTCATGTGAGATAACCCATATTCAGTGCAGGGGAAAGATGATACAAATAAGTTATGACAGTGATGTAGAGTTGTATCCATGTCTTGTGCTGCAATATATATTAAGCCTTGCTTATCATTGAGCAATGCAAGGTATATTTTATTCCTTTCATACTCATTTTTTTAAATGAAAGTTTAGATTCTAAGAACATCAGTATATGTTTGGCTTCCACTTGCTGGGCCTAAAAATGTCAGGTTCTAGGTTAGAATAAGTTTTTTTTTAAAGAAAGATGGATAAAATATTTCAGGGCCTATTTCATCCTGACTGCTATCTACCATTATCTCAAGAGGTTCTTAGAAAAAAAAGAAAATGTCAACTAAAAAAAACGGTGAAATTGGAGCATCTTTTTTATAAGAAAAGGCTACATTTGCCCTTCAGCACTATTGTTTGCAGTCTCCACTCCCCCCCCCCAATTTATGCTACCAACATTTTGCATTATATTAGGAAAAAAATGCTCAATTTGAAGAATCTTCCATTTAATCCAGAAATATTCATTTAGTGCTCTTCCTATGCTTTTAATAGGGTTGTTTTCACATTTTCAAAAATCTGATTCTCTGACTCCTCAGTCATAATTCTTTATCAATGAGGGAACCCATTTTTTCTACAGGTAGTTTCTCCACTTATGGAAGCTGTCCTTGGTGAGACACCAGTGACTGTGGTTGATGAGAAGGTTACCATTGTGGAATTGAAAGCTCAGGTGGTTTCAAACCTCTCCCTTTCCCTTCATGCCAGCCCTGGGAATAGCCACACCATTGTGGCCAAGACAACAGCCCAGCAGACTCTCAATTTCTCCAAGCAGGTAATGTTGACCACTTTAAGGAAATAGTCTCACCCTGTAGTTCCCAGAAGCCCTCAAGACTCAAGGGAAACCCATATGGATTGGCTCCATTCTCACAGAGAGCCAAAGAGAAGGCCAACTGTTCTGTTCAGACTGCAGAGAGAGGCCCATGGGATGGGAGGCTGCTTCACCTGAGAACATTCTCGGTAGATAGAGAACTATTATTATTATTATTATTATTATAATTTAATTTATATACCGCCCTTCTCCCGCAGGACTCAGGGCGGTGCACAGCGTATTAAAAACAGTACAAATACAAAACATAAAAATACAAACCCCTGTAAAACCAGATTAAAAAACCGAATATTAGAAGCTGTGTTTCTATTTAAAATTATTTTTAAAAATCACCCTAAATAAANAAAAAAAAAAAAAAAAAAGGAAAAAAGTGATAAAGTACAGGTAGTCCTCGACTTACAACTGTTCGCTTAGTGACTGTTCGAAGTTACAATGGCACTGAAAAAAGGCCCCCTAAGCCACAGCCGAGCAAGACGCCTGTCCGAGGTTTTCATTATTGTGAGCATTTCTGTTGAGGATTGGCAGTGGGGGTGAGGGGTGTTTGGTTTTTATTCCCCCCCGTCTGCTGGGTGGTTACAGCAGGTTTTGGTCACTTCACATGACCCTGGGACACTGTGACCGTCATAAATATGAATCAGTTGCCAAGCATTTGAATGTAAATCACAAGACCCTGGAGATGCTGCAACAGTCCAGCTGATCGGTGCTTCTTCTGGGCTCAGCAGAAGCGCCAGGATCAGTGCTGCTTTCCAGCTGGAGCCTGGCACTGATCCTGGCGCTTCCTCTGAGCCCTGACAGCCCTGCAGCTCCAGCCATCTCTCGCTCAGGCTTGTGCGGTGCTGCCACCGGTTCAGTTCATTCCCCTCCCCCACTACCACTTTTCTAGGATGGTCGCGTACCACCTGCCAGGTGCCAATGTACCACAGGTGGTACCCGTACCACTGGTTGAAAAGCCCTGCACTAGTGTACTGCGTATCATATCCATCCATTTCTTTGGGATAGGAGTATAATCCTCAGGATTGGTTTCAGCTCCAGTTGGCAATGTCAGCTTGACAAGCTGAGGAAGCTAGGCATTCCATGTCTGTTTTTTGTTTATCTTTCTTTTCTTGGCAATTCTTATTTGGGGGGAGGAGAGGCACAGTTATCTTAAATTCATGGTTGTCTTTCTTGGAAGTCAATAAGCTGGTTCCTGACCATCTGAGAAAGCTGCCAACCAAATCCTTTTTCCGTGCTGATGTCCTTCAACTTCTCACAGGTCCATACGGGAGAGTGACGATGAGGAGGAGGAGGAGGAAGAACGGAGACAAAGCAGGGGCTGCACACTTCAGTATCAGCATTCCACCCTGCAAGTGTTCACGCAGTTCCACACCACCTCCTCGGAGGGCACAGATCAGGTGGTCACCATGTTGGGGCCTGAATGGATGGTGGAGGTCACAGACCTAGTTGGTGATTTTATGAAGGTTGACAACCCACGTGTGGCACACATGGTCAATAGCAAAACACTAGCTGGCAGGGAGCCGGGCACTACTTTGTTCAAGGTAAAAACTAATCAAATGCTGAACCAAAAAAAATAAATTCTATTAGTCTGATAGGGTGGGTGGGAGGGAGGGAGGGAGGGAGGGAGGGAGGAAGGAAGGAAGGAAGGAAGGAAGGAAGGAAGGAAGGAAGGACATCGTTGTCATTCCTCGGATGCACAAAATCCGAGTAAATGCCATCGGATTTTCATTAAATGATCCACAAGTTGTCCTCAGACTGAGCAGGCTGTCTGTTGTAATGGCAAAAGTGAAGGAAGGATAGTTTGCAGATATCCATAAATCCTTTGCTTGTTATTGTCTCTTACGTTTGGAATCAAAGAAAGTGGATATCCTGTTTTCAAAAATATCTAACCCAATCCATCCTACTTCTTTATTTTCTAGAGCAGGGGACCCCAACCTGTGGGCCACGGCAATCTAATCACCACTGGGTTGCATGAGTGGCCGGCCGGTGTGTGCACATGGCCCCACGCGTGCGAGTCTCATTGTGGGCGCTCGCGTCCCCATTCGCACAAGCCTCACTACGGGCACTTGCAGCCCCATTCGCACGAGCCTTGCTGTGGGCACTTGCAGCCCCACTTGCGTGAGCCTCGTTGCAGGTGCTTGTAGCCCCATTTGCGCAAGCCTTGTGGGTGCTTGTGGCCCCACTCGCGCAAGTGACACTGTGAATGTCATGGGTGCATGTGCATGCACGTGCACATGCACGTGCCCCTCCCACAAAATTATCCCCTCTTTCCCTGCCTCCCCCCTGCTCTGTTCTGCCAACCCAGAAAGGTTGGGGGGCTCTGTTGTAGAGCAAGAATAGCAATCCTGCATAATATTTCTGCTCAACACCTTTTATTTTTTTTAATGGAATCTTCAGTGGAGTCAGTTCAAGGAGTAAGCAACCAGTGAACGTGAATTTGGGAGTAGGAATAACATATTACATAATAATATGTAATATTAAATATTTAAATTAAATATGTAATAAGTAAAAATGGAAACTAATCAAGGAGAGAAGCAACATGGAATTAAGGAGAAGGAGAAACTTCCTAACAGTGAGAATAATTAACCAGTGGAACAGCTTGCTGTCAGAAGTTGTGGGTGCTTCATCACTGGAGATTTTTAAGAAAAGACTGGACAGCCACCTGTCTGAAATGGTATAGGTCAGTGATGGCGAACCTTTTAGAGACCGAGTGCCCAAACTGCAAACCAAAACCCACTGATGCATCGTCGGGTGCCGGGTGGGTGTGGCCCATTGGGTGGGCATGGCTACGGTGGTAACGGCAGACTGGGTGGGACTAAAAAGTTCAATCAATCAATTCCAACTTTGCAAGATCTTTTTTTTCCCCGCGAGAAGTTGAAATTGACTAATTGATTGAACCTTTTTTTTTTTTTTTGCACACGGCGGCGGAGGCCTAAAGCGAAAAGGTTTTATAAAACCCAGCTGAAGGCCTAGGACTGGGACGACGGTGCGTGTGCCCACAGAGAGGGCTCTGAGTGCCGCCTCTGGCACCCGTGCCATAGGTTCGCCACCACTGGTGTAGGGTCTCCTACTTGAGCAGGAGGTTGGACTAGAAGACCTCCAAGATCCCTTCCAGCTCTATTCTGCATTTTGCATTCCTCACCCATACTCCATTGCCTTTCTCCTGTGCATTTTCTCCCTGAACAGTTCTGAGCAGGGTTTGCCTCTGTGCCAGGAATGTCTGTAACTTCAATTAATTCCAGGCTTTGACATTGTATTGCTTTCCTAAGCAAAAATCCCAGACTGCCATCTTCAAAGATAGTGCTGCTTAAGGTCAGGGTGTGCCTCCTGCTGAGAAAATACCCTTTGAAAAATTTTCTGTGCGTCTATGTGAAGGAGAGATCATGAATGGGTGATGATCTGTGGACTGGCTCTATTATTATGAGAAGCCCAGTTCCAGAGGGAGAAATGGAAAATGTGGCTATAGATCTCAGGAGGCAGTTTTGCAATCCAGAACCTCTATTACAAAACCTCAGAAGCTGTTCTGTGACGGGCATTTCTTTTCCTTTAATGTATTCTTTGTTTTTAAAAAAATAAAAACATATTCCTCATGTGAGATAACCCATATTCAGTGCAGGGAAAAGATGATACAAATAAGTTATGACAGTGATGTAGAGTTGTATCCATGTCTTGTGCTGCAATATATATTAAGCCTTGCTTATCATTGAGCAATGCAAGGTATATTTTATTCCTTTCATACTCATTTTTTTAAATGAAAGTTTAGATTCTAAGAACATCAGTATATGTTTGGCTTCCACTTGCTGGGCCTAAAAATGTCAGGTTCTAGATTAGAATAAGTTTTTTTTTTAAAGAAAGATGGATAATATATTTCAGGGCCTATTTCATCCTGACTGCTATCTACCATTATCTCAAGAGGTTCTTAGAAAAAAAAGAAAATGTCAACTAAAAAAAACGGTGAAATTGGAGCATCTTTTTTATAAGAAAAGGCTACATTTGCCCTTCAGCACTATTGTTTGCAGTCTCTACTCCCCCCCTCCAATTTATGCTACCAACATTTTGCATTATATTAGAAAAAAAAATGCTCAATTTGAAGGATCTTCCATTTAATCCAGAAATATTCATTTAGTGCTCTTCCTATGCTTTTAATAGGGTTGTTTTCACATTTTCAAAAATCTGATTCTCTGACTCCTCAGTCATAATTCTTTATCAATGAGGGAACCCATTTTTTCTACAGGTAGTTTCTCCACTTATGGAAGCTGTCCTTGGTGAGACACCAGTGACTGTGGTTGATGAGAAGGTTACCATTGTGGAATTGAAAGCTCAGGTGGTCTCAAACCTCTCCCTTTCCCTTCATGCCAGCCCTGGGAATAGCCACACCATTGTGGCCAAGACAACAGCCCAGCAGACTCTCAATTTCTCCAAGCAGGTAATGTTGACCACTTTAAGGAAATAGTCTCACCCTGTAGTTCCCAGAAGCCCTCAAGACTCAAGGGAAACCCATATGGATTGGCTCCATTCTCACAGAGAGCCAAAGAGAAGGCCAACTGTTCTGTTCAGACTGCAGAGAGAGGCCCATGGGATGGGAGGCTGCTTCACCTGAGAACATTCTCGGTAGATAGAGAACTAGGATGCCACGGGAAAGATGGATCTTGGGCTGAACAAAGTACATCTCAAAAGATTTCCCTAACAGAAGACCTAATTTTTCTGTGTATTTATGTGGAAGGAAAACTCTAGTTTATCAGAGAGAGTCTGAATCTTTAAAAGATTCAGACAAATATATGCTTAGTGAGTTTTTTTTCTTTTTTAGTGGATTTTTTTAATCACTGAAAATTACAGCAAAATTCTTCTCACGATATATTATCACGTCACTGGGTTTGCACAGTAAGCTGAACAAAGTCAGTTAAAGATCTAGCAGTTGCATTTACACAACTTGCTAAACATCATTGCTTTTAATTGGTTAATGTTGTTGCTTAGATTCTTGTGTGAACTCAACCTGCCTATGTATAGGAGAAGGTAGCTTACTAGTGAAGGAAATTTTTACAAGATTTCTGTAGCCTCATAAATGTTTATTTGATAGTTTGATAGAGTATATTACGTATGGTCTATATATTCCAAATGATTCCAAGCAGTTTACAGAGTAAACTGTACGAAAAGAAAACATAGAGCCATGGCAAAATGTTTGATGCAACCAATTAAAATAAAATAAAATAAAAATCACAGAAGAATAATACCACGTCGATGCTCCCTCCCTAGCAAGGGTGACATAAATAGCCTTATAGGCTTCAAAAGCCCTACAAAATACAGGTAATCCTTCACTTGCAACCATTTGTTTAATGACCATTTGAAGTGACCACAGCACTGTTGTAGCACTTCTAAAGTCATGTGATCAATTTCAGGAATTAGGCAACTGCATGTATTTACAATGGTTGCAGCATCCTGTGGTCATGGGATCTCCATTTATGACCTTCCTAGCAGGCTTCCAATAAGCTAAGTCAATGGGGGAAGTCACATTCACTTAGTGACCGTGTTATTCACTTAACAACCATGACAAAAAAGGTCATAAAATCCGGCGCAACTCAATTAACTGACTTCTGGTTTCAATTCTGATTGTAAGTCAAGGACTACCTATGAAACAGATTTAACTGTCGTTCTTAATAATAGTGACGTAGGGCCAGCCTTCTGGATGTTGTCTTTTATTTTGGCATCAATTAGATATCATTTGAGGATGTTGTTAGGCAGCAGGATATCCACCAAGGCTGCATTGCCACCCCCTGCAATTAGACATTATATGATTTATTTATGTAAGCAAACACACCAATTTCCTTTCGTTAATCCAAATGTATGGTTTTTCCTATTGGGTGAATATGGAAAACTGAGAAGATTGTGATTGGGTATAAATAAATGAGACAAAAGAGAGACCGATTTGGGCAAAAGGACAGGTTAGTGTGCACTAAATGGGGACGATGGGAATTTGCATTCCAGACTATCTGGAGGGTAACTGGTTGGGGAAGGTTTAATATAGAATATAGAAACACACAGATGGATGGATGAAAACAGTGGAAATTGGGGAATTAGGACTGATAGAGAGTGGTGGTTTTGAAACTGGGGATCCCAGGTTCTGGGTGATCAAAGGACGCCTTGCTATGTCTTCCTTGATCAGTGGGTATTGGCAAAGAAGCTTTTCTGAAATTGAGCTTGACAACTATTCATGACTTTTCTGTCCTGGCATCCCAAACATATCAATTGGTCCAGGTTGCTTGAGGGACTGTCTCACTCCACTGGGATTGGCCCATCCCACTAGTGCCAGCAGAGGAAGCCTGCTGTGGGTCCCGTCAGCCCGATTATTCCGGCTGGCGGGGTCCAGGAGGAGGGCCTTCTCTGTTGTTGCTCCTGCCCTCTGGAACATCTCCCCCCCCCCCCCGCATGTGAGGTTGGCCCCAACCCTTCTATCCTTTCATAAAGGCCTAAAGACCTGGCTCTGCCAGTTGGCCTGGGCCCCTATTGGGGGAACAGTGGAGGGGGTTGATCAGATAACAACAGATCCCACCTCCCCCAATTCCGCCCCCGCCCTCCCCACATGCTCCTGATTTTAATCTTGGTTTTAATTTAAAATAGATGTATCTTTATGCCTGTGGTAACTTGGTCGGCCAATAAAATAAATAAATAAATAAATAAATAATGAATAAATAAATAAATAAATGGGAGGAAAGATATTCCAGAATGTTCTGTAGTTCCTAAGGTAGGAGAGTTCTTAAATAAAGACTTAAAAAAACCAGAAACTCATTTTCTATTGAATGGAATGATGAGGCATGCATTTTGAACTGGGTTGTCCATAACTAAAAGGTTCCACTCTCCAGAGGTTGCATCAGGTCCATGATTTAAGTCCTTTGGGGTCTCCTCCGAGACCCAAAAATACATGCTTGTGCAAAAGCTTATGGGGTGGTTCCAAACAGTTTTGTCTTTTTTTTTTCCCAAATAGGAAGCTCTGCTCAGTCTCTGGGTGTCGTACAGCGATGGCACAATTGCTCCCCTCTCTTTGTATGATCCAAAGGATTACACACTAGTGGTGACAAGCCAGGACAGGTCAGTGGTATCGGTGATGCCCGAGCGGACCTTCCCACTAGTGAGAGCTGAAGGGGAAGGGTCTGGCGAACTGATCAGAGCTGAGCTGCTGATATGCGAGAGCTGTCAGAAGACCAAACGCAAGAGCGTGCTGGCCACCACATTGGCCAATGTCCGCGTGCATTTCAGCTCTGAGGAGGAACCCACCTATGACTATGAGCCTGTCCAAACTCCTAGCCGACCTGGACGGGAGAAGAGTATGCCTCGCACCACACCACGGGTGGAAGTAGAGTGGCCTCTGGTGCCAAGTCAGGAGAGTTGGGCACCCAGCGTCATCCTTCCAACTGAGGACTTCCCAACCATTCCCACTGGCTATGTGCAAGTCCCTCGAGGACTCACAGACCTGGAAATAGGCATGTATGCCCTGCTCGGTGTCTTCTGTTTAGCCATTCTGGTGTTCCTTATTAATTGTATTGTCTTTGTACTCAAGTACCGGCACAAACGGATTCCTCCAGAAGGACAAACCAACATGGACCACTCCCACCACTGGGTCTTCTTGGGAAATGGACAACCGTTGCGGGCCCAGAATGATCTTTCTCCTCAGCCTGAGAGCCCAGGCAACCCACTGGAGAACGTGCAGACCTGCTGTCATGGTGACCACCACAGCAGCGGCTCCTCGCAAACCAGTGTGCAGAGTCAGGTTCATGGGCGAGGGGATGGCTCTTCTGGGGGCTCCACCAGGGACCAGAGTGAGGACCCGCTCAATTCTCCCACTTCCAAGCGTAAGCGCGTCAAATTTACTACATTTGCCACCATGCCCTCCGAGGAACTGGCCTATAATTCTATTCCTATAGCAGACGAGGAGGACTTGGAGTGGGTCTGTCAAGACATAGGGTTGCAGGAGCCCGAGGAGCTGCACAACTACATCCATAGGATCAAGGAGATTGCATAATGGGCCGGACCCAACACTTACAAGCCAAGGAGAGAGAGATGTAGGGGATGCTCTCTCTGGGCTTGAAAATGGCTAGATTACATTGCCCCCCTGGGCTCTCCTCTAGCTCTTCCTCTCAGTGGACAAGCCCACCTGCACGACCAGGAATGGTTTACAAGAGAACCAGACCTCTTGTAGAATGGGATGAATCTTTTCTTTTTTCTTTTGGAGGGAGAGCAATTATGAAAGGCTGCTTGTGGTACATCTGTGGGTCACTCTGTATAGTTGAAGGCGACTTGGCTGAAGCAGGCTGGGTGCCATTACTCCATTAAAGTGGGGTTGGAGACTGACTGGCGCCGTCAAGCAGGCCAAGAGAAGGAAGTGTCTGAGCCATTGTTGGAATGAGCCAGAGTGTGCAATAGGTCCTTGCACCTGATGGGTTGCTTGGGGGAATGTTACTCCTTGCCTTGCCAACATCCACTGCTGCCTTTGCTGCCCGTCTCTCTCTGAAAGGCGATGCAATCCTTTGGTCTCTCGGCTTTTTTTTTTCTTGCACAATAAATGTTGACTCTTTAAAATAAATAATATTCAGGGATTCTGCTTGGCCCAGGGGGAGCCAAATGGAACAGTCTTCTGGTTTGTGGAGAGGGAGAAACCTCAGACCAGATTGCCATCAGACCCCTCAAGGTGGCTGGGACTCACTGTTGCTACCCTGGGGAGGGGATCTGAGAAAAAGGACTGCCCTCCCTTGCTACTCTAAACACCATCTTCCCCTTCTAATACCTACATTGCTTCTTCCCTAGTTCCAGGCTCTGTTTTTTTCCAAAATTGTGTATTAAAATAGTAAGCCCACCCTCTAACTCCAAGCAGGAGAGTGGAAATTAATCTTCCTGGAAGAAGCCATCTAATTTCCAAAGAGGAATCAAGTTCCTAACCTGCCTCGTTTTTATATGTGGGAATGTTTGGTCTTGAAGATCTTCCTGGTTGGCCTCTCCATCAGTTGACAGCCATGTTAGGAATAGTTTTCCCTTCTTGTTGAGGCAATACAATTTTCCTATAGAAGGAGGGAGGTGTAGTTACTAGTCTCTCACTGTGTGCACTCCCCAAACCCTCCCCCGTTCCCTGACTCACTGTCTGAGCTTCTGTGATGTCCAGGAACATGGAAAACAAAGCTCTTCCCAAGCATACAACAAGGCATAGATTGCACGAAGGGTCATGATATAAATTAGAAAAGGGCAAGCAAGATGTGGTTAGGCATGATGATGATACCCTGACCAAGAGCCATTATATTCAGAAGGCTGAACGTACATTTTTATTAAAAAAGAGGGAGATATCAGTCCAATCTAGCTGCAGGATTCTAATTTTTCCAGAAGTTCTGTCTACTTATTCTTCTCTTTGGGAAGGAGAGTTGATACTTGCCAGTGAAAATATTGGATTTGATCCTTAGAAGGATCATGATATCCTTGACAATCAGCCTGGTGGGTAGCCTCTGAGCAAAGTTGAAGAATCTCTGACCTTGCTGTTTCTCAAGAGTCCTGGGAAACGTTCAGATATTGGAATGGGAGGGGGAAGAAAAGGTACATACAAGCAGAGATCGGCAGAACAAGTAAGTATAAAATGATTCATTGGGGGCAAAACACTCTACATTAATTTTTCATATACACAGCTGGAACCTGAACTGTGTGTTACTAACCAGGAAAATTATATTGGGGTCATAAAGGGTACATCGGTGAAGATGCTGATGTATATGAATGTTGTGGGAATGACAAACTCCAACTAGGAAAATAAAGAAGGAATTAAAGATCGTCAACATTGTAGCACGCTTATATAAATCTAGGGTACGACCACACCTGGAAATCTAGGTATGGTTCTGGTTGCCATATTTAAAAATTAACGTAATTGAGCTGGAACTACAGAAGTGGACAATCAAAGTGACTGGGAGTTGCATAAGCTTCTGATTTGTTTTGTTTTATTTTGTTATTTATATCCACCCCATCTTACCTAGAAACAACTCTATGCAGCTTACAACAGTAGAAATAAGGTAAAACATTAAAAATAAGGTCATAAATATTAACATTAAAATTAACGAGGCAAGGAAGGGAGCAAGCTACAAAAAGGCCAGAAGTAGAATGATTCAGGTGTATGCCATATACATGACATGAAGAAAATAAATGGAAAAGTCCTTGTCCCTTACTTCAAACACTATGACATGGCTCATCCAGAGATTAGAAGGAAGTTAGAATAGAAAATGGTTTTCCACATGGCACATGCTTAGCCCATGAAATACTGAATTAGAGCCACCATGCTTTAGATTAAAGGCTATCAGTCTCAAGGCTCAAGATTATCTTTTAAGTTGAGGCACCATGTCTTCAAATACCAGTTGTGGGGGCTAATGGCAGGAGATACATCTTTCTCTAAAGAGAAGCAAAATACTGGACTAAGACATACTTTGCCCGTAGAAGTTGCAATCACAATGCATCTGGAGAACATCAGTATTGCTGGCAATGCATAGCATTCTGCAGAAGATGTGTGTAAAGCTGACAAACCAAGATGTGGAGCTAGAAGGCAAGATCAGTTGAAGTTAGGAGGCAAATTCCTTCTTCAGAGCTTGTTCACCCACCCTCCTAGCCACCCGCTCAAAGAGGTGAGTATATTAATAAAAAGGATTAATAATAAATAGCACTTTGCACTAGTTGGATGTCATGAGACCCTGATGGCGCATATTATTTTGCTGTTAACCTTCAATACATCCCAAGCTCTTGGTGTTTTAATGTTTGCTTTTAACAGAACTTCAAACTATGCAATGAAAAATTAAATTGTCACGTGGCAGAAATTGCAGTACAGTCACCACACACCTGGATGCCAAATGTCTCATGCCTGATTCCCAGCATGTCCAAATAAAGGAGGAGAGACAGCAGTGGCCAATGAAACTTCAAAGAGCCTGCAGTAGCCCTAGTATCCTTCAACAGTTTCCTAGTATCCTTCAACAGTTTCCAAGTTCCAAGGACTACCTCACAAAGATCAATGCCTTATAATACCTCCTCAGTCCACCTGCCTAGTCATTAGGTTATGTGTTTCTCTTTATATCAGTGGCTGGGAATGTCAGGCTGAGTGTTACAATCCTTGTGTAGCAGCTTTGCATATGTAGTGTATTGCCACATCAGGTGTTCTCCAGATTATCTACCTAGGAAATTTAAAGTGTGAGTGCAGTCACTTCCATCCCTCGGACCAAATCAGAATTAGATCAGTTTGTTCCCAAATTGTGTAAGTATAGGCTTTGTTCACACTACATAATTCATTTGATTACTAAACCCATTTTCTGGGTTTAGAGAAGACATTGATCCACTAAAAACCAAAAGGGCTGTTAATGTTAATATTAAGCTTGTTGCAAACATGCCATAGAATAAATTCACAGCATGCAGAAAATCCTGTTTTCTTGCTTAATGGGTTTTTCCAATCCAAGGCTTTAATACAAGGTAGAGCTCCAATTTTGCCTATGATTCAGGAATAAATGCATGCTTTGGATGCTGGATACTGTGTTCAATCAATGACCTCTCTGGGATCTTTGCTTTAGAGTAGGGATCCCCAATCCTGGGTCCGTGGACTGGCACTGGGCCTCAGTATGCCAGCAACCGGGCCGTGGAAACAAGTGAAGCCCCATCCGCGGGATGCAGGCAGCATGCAAAACACACCCATTCCGCGGAAAAACCTTTATCCATGGAACTAATCCCTGGTGTCCAAAAGGTTGGGAGCCGCTGCTTTAGAGTTTGGGAAGCAACTGTTCCTAATTAACATACAAGTCTTCAACTTACAACAGTTCATCTAGTGGCTGTTGAATGTTACAATGTGACTTATGACTTAGGACTTTAAGCATCCTCCTGGTCACATGACCAAAATTTGGATGCTTGGCATCTGGTTCATATTTATGACAATTGCACTGTCTTGGGGTCATTTGATTACCTTTTGCATCCTGACAAAGTCAATGGGCAAGCCAGATTCACTTAACAAATGTGTTACTAACTTAACAATTGCAACGATTCACTTAACTATGTCAACAAAAGTTGTAAAATGAGGTAAAATTCAGTTGACAATTGTCTTGCTTAGCAACAGAAACTTTGGGCTCCATTATAAGTTGAGGACTACCTATAATTGCACACTTGTAATGAATGCACATCATCCAGGCATCTTGGGAGAATTTGGGGGCTGACATTTTGTTACAAGCTCCAACTCTCTGGCTGGGCCCACAATAGCACACTAAACAGAATTATAGGTAGTCCTCTACATAGGACCGTAATGTCTGCCCACTACAGTTGTTTGTTGTAATGGTCATAAATTTTACTAATTTATGTTTTTTGCGGTTAAGTGAATATGGTTATTAAGCAAACCAATGGGTTCGCTTTGGAGGTGGTTTTTGCTGTAAACCAGAGGTAACAGTTTTCAGCAAAATTGTTGTAATATGTAGTCACATGACCCCAGAACGTTGTCAAAACTTTGGAGTTGGGTTGTAAATCCCCCTTTTCAGGTTGGTCATAACTCAGGAACTACATGTGCTTGTTTATCAGATTTCTGGAGCCCAAGATGGTACATGTAGCAAAACCTCCTTTTTTCTGCAACCATGTTGTGAGGTAGGTTGTGCTGTGAGAACAAACGGCTCAAAGTCACCAGATGAATTTCATGGCTGAGGGTTGACTAGAAACCGGACAGCAGAACACAAGTGCTGTGCCTACATAATGTGTTATACTCAAACCATATTGTGGCTTAGTGCAGTAGTCTGCTCTACTCCACTTGCTGACACAATTCCTAGAGGAGGCTTAACTTGACTACTGAACTCCGTTTTCTGGCCTTAATAGATCAGGGGTCTTCTGGGAGTTGAAGTCCACGAGTCATAAAAGGGCCAAGTTTGAAGACCCCTGCAATAGATGAAGAAATAAAGCAAAGGGGCTGAATTCAAATAACATTCTTAGATATACCCCTCCAAAACACTCTAACTAAGATGAAAACTAACCAAGATCTACATGCTA